CATGGGCTCGCGGTAGGCGCATGGGCTCGCGGTAGGCGCATGGGCTCGCGGTAGGCGCATGGGCTCGCGGTAGGCCATGGGCTCGCGGTAGGCCACGGGCTCGCGGTAGCCGGCGCCCGGCCAGGGCCCAGTGCGGGGTGCGTGTGTGTCTCCCCCGACTCCGCCCCCCTGCTTAGTCGCTGCAAGATACATAAAATAAAATGTGCAATACGTTGTTCTTCTCAGTTTTTTCTCTCCTTTTGCATGTACCTGCCCTCAGACGTTGTCTTTTAAGGGACTGGTCCCTCTGCGTTTTCTCAGCCTTTTTTCTCTAGCAGAAATGAAATCTTCGTAACTTGTTCTTTTATTTTTAATGCCACTGACACCGGTGCTCTCTTTTCTCCCTTTTCCTCTTCTCCTTTACTGCCCTGGGTTTTTTCCCCCCTTGGAAGTTCTCTGTGATTTTTTCTCTGGGGGTCTCTTGGCATGTCAGTGTAGCATGACCTAGGGAAAGACGAGCAGGCCAACCCATGTAGGGCTGAAGGTAAAAGATCCAAGTCAAGGGCTGTGAAAATTGCCCCCCCACATCAGCAGCCTGAGGGTTCTCGTTTCTGTCACCCCGGCCCTCCAATTTCCCCAAACCAAAGCAGCTAATTCGTAAGCAAAAAAAAAAAATCCCCTTGTCTGATAAACAGCACTGAGCCCGCCCGCCGCAGGGAAAGGTTAAACCACAGTCTGGGCCAGGCCAAGATCCTCGGGTGGGGCCCGCCTGCCGCGGGGATGAGCCCCGACAGGCCCCGGGGCCCTGGGGTCCTGCCGGCCCCCGTGCGCGGCCTGCGTCAGACAGCCGGAGCCTCACGGAGCTGGGAGCGAGGCCCCGCGCCTGGCCAGCGTGCTGCCTGCCTGCGCCAGGCTCAGCCATCGCCCATGCCCCAGGCGGCGCCGAGCGGGGCTGAGCTGCGCGCCGGGGTCCTCTGGCTGGAAGTGACCCTGCCATTGTCCCGCAGTGTCCTCCCCCACGGTGGGCAAGCCCTACAAGTGCAGCTACTGCGGCCGGAGCTACAAGCAGCAGAGCACCCTGGAGGAGCACAAGGAACGTTGCCACAGCTACCTGCAGGGCCTCGGCGCCGACGCCCAGGCGCTGGCCGGCCAGCCAGGTGGGCCGCGCGGCCTCTGCAGGCCAGGGGCTGGCGTGAGGTTTGGGGGAAAGGCCGCCTCAGAACACTGGCTGGGCCCCTGGTGGGTAGAGCCCGGGGTGGTAGGTGCCGCAGGAGACCCAGAGTCAGGAGAGGGCTTGTTGTTGGGTCTTTTGGTTTTTGTTTTTTTTAAGATTGATTTATCATGCACACAGAACTGGGGACAGGCCAGAGGTGGCGGGGTGAGAGGCTTCACCAGAGAGAGCGGGGAGCAGAACAGGCGGATCCACTGAAATCCACGGCTGAGGGGAGCTGCGGGGAGACAGGCGGGGCCTGTGGCGCCCCGGGGTCGCTGCCTGGCCAGGATCCAACTGGCATGGGCCAGCTTCACAGCGCTGGGCTGCGCTTCAACCCGTGGTGCCCCCAGGGAGGCCCCAGGGAGGATTTGTTTTAACTCAGTCTGATGGAGGAGAGAGAACACAGGAAGTAGAAAATCCAGAGTCAAACGTACATAATTGTCCCCACGTTCTCCGAAATGCTGCTGAGATGAGCGCTAGGTGGGTCGAGCAAGCAGAGCCACTCCCCAGGCACCAGGCTGGACCTCCGCAGATTGCCGCTGCTCCAGCCTCAGCCTCGCTGCCCGGCTGGGCCGCTGCCACCTGCCCGCTCTCCCTCCCCAGGTGATGAGATCCGTGACCTGGAGATGGTGCCAGACTCCATGCTCCACGCGTCCTCTGAGCGGCCAACATTCATCGATCGCCTGGCCAACAGTCTCACCAAGCGCAAGCGGTCCACCCCCCAGAAGTTTGTAGGTAAGTGGCGGGCGAGAGGAGAGGGGGTGTCCGCTTGGAGGGGGTGCAGCCGCTCGGGCTCTGTGCTGACCAGACGTTGGGTCTGGGGAGTGCGCGGAGGGAGAGCCAGCGGTGTGCTGTGCGTCCCCCTCGGACTCCAGCGCACAAGGGGGGGCGCAGGGAGCGTACCCCCAGGGGGTAGAGAGGGGTGAGTGCTGGAGGTCATAAGAGGAGGGATCTGGGCTTGAGGAGGTTGGTCGAGTCCTTCTCTGAGACCACAGCCTAGCTGGGGAGCCCCCCCCCAGGCCCGCAAGGAAGCCAGGCAGGGGCGGTAACTAAGGCTCCACGGGGTAAGAACGCCGAGCCGCAGGCCCGGGAGCGCAGGAGCCCCAGAGGCAGACCCCGGACCCCCTTCCCTAGGCGAGAAGCAGATGCGCTTCAGCCTCTCCGACCTGCCCTACGACGTGAACCCGGGTGGCTACGAGAAGGACGTGGAGCTGGTGGCGCACCACGGGCTGGACCCCGGCTTCGGGGGCTCGCTGGCCTTCGTGGGGGCCGAGCACCTCCGCCCCCTCCGCCTCCCCCCGACCAACTGCATCTCGGAGCTCACACCTGTCATCAGCTCGGTCTACACCCAGATGCAGCCCCTGCCCGGGCGACTGGAGCTTCCAGGGTCCCGGGAGGCAGGCGAGGGGCCTGACGACCTGGCCGACGGGGGTCCCCTCCTCTTCCGGGCCCGAGGCCCCCTGGCCGACCCCGGGGCGTCGCCCAGCAACGGCTGCCAGGACTCCACAGACACCGAGAGTAACCACGAAGACCGGGTGGGGGGGGTGGTGTCCCTCCCTCAGGGTCCCCCGCCTCAGCCACCCCCCGCCATCGTGGTGGGCCGGCCCAGCCCCGCCTACGCCAAAGAGGACCCCAAGCCGCAGGAGGGGTTACTGCGGGGCACCCCGGGCCCCTCCAAGGAAGTGCTCCGCGTGGTGGGCGAGGGCGGGGAGCCCGTGAAGGCCTTCAAGTGCGAGCACTGCCGCATCCTGTTCCTGGACCACGTCATGTTCACCATCCACATGGGCTGCCACGGCTTCAGAGACCCCTTCGAGTGCAACATCTGCGGGTACCACAGCCAGGACCGGTA